AGCAAGCTGAATTCTAGCTGAACCCCAGTAGAAAGCAAGCTAAATTCTAGCTGAAACCCAGTAGAAAGCAAGCTAAATTCTAGCTAAAAGCTGCTTCTTGAAAACTAATGGGCCAATTACTTTAATCGTGGTACATACGTTTTAATGGGCTGCTCACACATTTCTCAGTGCAATTGAACTGCATTGAAAAAAAACACATAAAAACCTACCACATCACTTTTTCAAAAGAAAGAAACAGATCTATTTTTTGGGAGCCTAGAATAAAATGAGTTTAGTATATTAAACAGTCCATCTCTACTGTATGTGAGCTATTACTACTTCAATCAGTTGAATTATCAGCTGTCACCAAATATACCTAAAGACTGTTGATATAAACCAAAGTTCAACTATACATTACTCTGTAGTCTAGAATACTAGAATAATAATGCTATTTATTTTCGCTAAAATCAGCAATTTTATTTTATTTTATTTTTACATGAAATATTTTTTTCATTTGATTAAATACAAACATATGTATGATATACAACTATAAAATGCCTGTACAATATTTTGTTTTAATTCATGTCATTGAATTTACAATTTTGATAAAAAAAATGGTTTTGTATTATTATTATTATTATTAGTTGAATATTTTTAAAAAAAAATACAGAGTAGTTCTGTACCAGTAGTTATTTGTGGCTGTTAGTTAAGACAAAGAAACATGTTTTTCACCACAAATAAAAATTCTATGAAAATTATTTATATAATATTTTGTGTGTACTAATAAATCAAATTGATGTCAATGGCATATAATTCCAAATAAAATTTAAAAAAAAAATTGTCAGTACAAAAAACATAGAGTTATTGAACTTATTAATTATTATTTCACATTTAATTTGTTTTTTAGACAGAATTTTTCAAGGGCACATTCAATATAAAAATCAGTAACAAATATTGTTATGCCACTGTCTTTAATAACTAGTACATGTTACGGTTTCTTTACTTGTATTCAGTGTTACCATGATTGTTTATAGAATCTAGTGAGTGAAATTTAAATGGTGTGCAATGTGTTAACACTTTATTCCGGTTCACATACACCTGATACTAGAGAAGAACAGTAGTTTGGGAGAATAATGGCTCAAGACGGTTCACATACACCTGATACTAGAGAAGAACAGTAGTTTGGGAGAATAATGGCTCAAGAAAAAGATAAACAGAATACTTGTTTTTGCTACACACAAATAGCAATGTAATGCCTTACATGTATTGTACTTTAGAGGTACTGTAATCACTTGTCATGGTTGTGAACATTTTAAAAACAACATTCTTGAAATTCCAATATTAACTAACTACATGTACTTGCATTATACTGTCAGTTGTTGTTCCATCACTTCTAATTCCTTTATTTTCTATATAAAAAAAAAAACATGATATAGCAAAATTAACAGTGACAATAAGATGACAAGGCTTTCAATAATATACATTTTAAACTATGGCATAATTAGTATACTTGTGACTTTAAGGG